AGAGCGGGCTGCGGGAGGTAAGAGGACCGGAAAGAGGACCGGAAATCCACCTCCACCACGTATGAAGTCTTGGTAGTCTTGGTTGCGACAGCGTTTAATTGAGGAAAGACCTCGCAAAACGAACAGGCAGAGCCAGTACACAGACGATGACGATGATGATGACCCAGAGTGGCAATGAGGACAAAGAGACAAACGGATGATGGTGATTGTGATCATGCAGGGATGAGGACAATGCAAGTAACAAATGCCCACAATATTTATAGCAACTTGATATGAAAGTGTATTTATTAAGCGTTTGTGAGTGCCTGTAATGTGTTAACTTAAAACGACAGAAAAAAATTACTTTTGACGTGGCGATGTTTATGTCACTATGAATTAATTCAAAAATTTTTAGTCTTGCTATTTTCGCCCTACCTTGTAGTGTTAATAGACCAGCTTTCGTTTGCAACTCAGTAGGAGAATTCGTTAGATTGCATTTGTTATAAATATACCTCATTGCCTTCCTGTTCAATTAGTTACTTTGTATGCGGAAACCAAACAATACCATTATAATCATGTAAGTAATATGTTCATTTATTATTATTATTATTATTATTATTATTGCATTGATAACATTTCACTTGATTTGCAGTTTACTCATTAAATCTGTATTTCACTGTTACACTGTTCAAGGCAGTATTTATAATGTCCTTACAGAGACCTACATATTTTAACTGCATTTAATGGACTCAGATATATCAGCCAGTCTTGTGGCACACCCTACAGGACAAGAATATTTTCGTCATTTCAGGACATCCCGGGGATGTTTTGGATTTTTGAAGGAGGTACGTATTAGGGAATGACTGATGCACGGCTACCTGTTTTTCATGCAACCTTACCTTATCTCCAAAATATCTGGTGATCAGAAGAAAGAAAAGTCGATGAAAAAATAACCAGCCTTGAGCAGGTTCTTTCTTTTATTCTTGTTATTTACATTCCATTGGTTCTAATAACTTCCCCTGCACATTCCTTGGCATTACTGTCTGTTAGATCTCATTATATATATATATATATATATATATATATATATATATATATATATATATATATATATATATATATATATAGGCATGGTGGCGAAAATGGCCGTAGCGTTGCAATAAGTCAAGTAGATCCTCCAAGAGAACGGTAACAACGGAAGTGTTTAATTCGACAGTTTCGGCCAGAGTCTGGCCTTCATCAGGAGTCATGATGAAGGCCAGACTGATGATGAAAGTCAGATGACTCCTGATGAAGGCCAGACTCTGGCCGAAACTGTCGAATTAAACACTTCCGTTGTTACCGTTCTCTTGGAGGATCTACTTGACTTATATATATATATATATATATATATATATATATATATATATATATATATATATATATCCCTTTCAGCCCTGGATTTTTTATTTTAGTCAGATACACTTTTTGTGCGCGTTTTTCTCGTAGTTAGGACCTCAGAATACCACAAACAAAAAATTGAGCCACTGGTACAAGTATTTTCGGATTAATTGCCGTGGCATCAAATTACGTAGTTAAGGCCCTGTGATTGGAAAATGAAAAAAGTGGCTTATTGTTTTCTGCCAATTAATCGTGCCACAAAATGGACACCAACATCTTACTTTTCAGCTCAATACTTACTGAAACAGCTCCGGTACGTTGTCCCCAAAATGGCGCTTACCCGCCTCAACTTACGTGCCTCGGCTTCACGAAAGCCCTCGGTCACGCTTTTTCTTCTTTGTGGCTGCTACCTCCACAAACGTGCCGCAATATTGGTGTGAATTGCAGTGGGCATCATTGAAGAACTATGCCCCCAAGAATGAGCAGTATTGGTTACGTTTCCGGGATACTATGGGAAAATTTGTGCTGTGGTGTCAATTGACACCGCCAGGGCCGAAAGGGATATATATATATTCACGTTTACTCTACGTTTCGGCCGTGCCATGGCCGAAACGTAGAGTAAACAATTATCAAATTTTCGTAAGTGTGCTCCTTCATTTATATATATATATATATATATACATATATATATATATATATATATATATATATATATATATATATATATATATATATATATATCCCCCTGGTGACGAGTGAGGTAGGCTTGCTCGCCCACTCACGAAAGAATTGGTACGCCACTGCAGAGAGATCTGTTAGGATTGTTAGTGATGTATTCAATGTGTGCATGCTAAGAAAGGTTATTGGCAATCTGAATTCTGAGGTACTTATATCATGTTACCTACTCGAGGTTGATGTTATTGATGGCATAGCCGAAAGATTTTGTCGAGTCAGGGCGATGCAATAAATGCATGATTTAGCATTTATAGTAGGGTTTAAGAACATCAGCTGCTGCGAGCAGTTGCTTTATATGTTATTAAAGTCAGATTGAAGAATAGAGTTATCATGATGATTTGTGATGTCATGGCATAAAACACAATCAGCAAATAGTTTAGTGGGACTATTAATTACTGTAGGTAAGTCATTAACATAAATTAGAAAAAACAATGAGCCGAGAACAGAGCCTTGAGGGACGCCCGACTTTACATCACCACAAGGGGCGCAGCATCAAGTTGCAAATTGAGTATGGTTATCCAGTTCAAGATGCTAGAGTCAAGGTTAAAAATATCAAGTTGGGGAAGCAGGAAGCGATGAGACACCTTGTCAGAATATTTAGCAAAATTTTAAAATATACAGTGAATAATATGGCCTTTGTCAAAAGTAGAGGAAGTGTTATGGTTAAACAATATTAGTGTTGTTTCGCACGAGAAGTTCTTGAAAAACCCATGCCGAAAAGAAGTAAAATAAAGAGTTTGATGTGAGAAAGGAATCAAAATTAGTAAATAGGACGCGATGCTTAAGCGATCCTCCCTGCACTCAATGTGGGATCATCTGCTGTTGTCTGGCCAGTTTGGGCTGCGGTTCTGGCAGTTTGCACTATTCCTGAAGGTGTAACCGGGTAATGTCCCGAATGCCGGTACCCGGGTGCAGTAGCTTTTGTGGTTCTTGCTTGGCCCAGGTTAACATTTCTAAGGCATGGTAGTCAGCGATGATGTTGCCTGCTATCTGTGAGTGAGCCGGAACCCACACAAGCTCTATAGAAACATGAATTTAGTAACATGATATGTGAGACACCACCAATGTCTGTGCACAGAAATTTCTTAGCTTTTTTTTTCAACTATTGCAACTGCTGTACAGTCGAGCCCCTTAATCTCTGTTCGTTGTCACAATTTCTTTGCAGCGAGAACTGAAAAATATGCAAATCTTGCAATTACACAGCACAATTAAAATTTATTTAAGGTTGTTGGTGACCTTGTTCTGCTTCATATAATGACATTGCTTTGAAGGAGTTTGATGGCTGACCGCTTAGTACGCTTTGCATAGCTTCTTCACAGTCGTAGGTGCTAAACAATGTGCGAGCGTTGTTGAAAGCATCAACAACTTCACCCAAATTTGCTTTGCAGCTTTTCTCACTCTTGTTGTAATCCTCATTTTTCTTCGCGCCCAGTTGGAGAGGTGTGCGAACACCCCTGCAACTTTGTTAAGTCACAATATATGTGGTTAAAAGCACACTTCCCTCTTTCTCTCTCCTCGAACCTCTCCGAGGCTGGCGCCGAGTTGGTTTTGGCTAGATGCTGTCACGTGGGACCGCTCGCAGCCCTCGTTTGTTTACAGCCACTCTCGATTACCAACATTGCTTTAGAAGCACGGATTCGATGGTGAACAACGCATGTTTTTTGGATATGCACTTGTCCTTTAGTGCGCATTGAGCTGCGAAATACCTTTCACCCTAGAATGACCTTGCTGTTGGATGCCATCGGTGCCTGTTCATGTCGACCGAAAACATTTCATGATGCCATCCGTTAAGTGTAACGAGTTGCGACAAAAGACACGGTTGCATAGAATCAGAATTAAGAGTTTCAGACAGCCCCGCCGTGATAGTTTAGTGGCTAAGGTACTCGGCTGCTGACCCACAGCTCGTGGGATCGAATCCTGGCTGCAGCGGCTGCATTTCCAATCGAGGCGGATATGTTGTAGGCCCGTGTGCTTAGATTTGGGTGCACGGTAAAGAACCCCAGGTGGTATAAATTTCCAGAGCCCTCCACTACGGCGTCTCTCATAATCATAGGGTGGTTTTGGAACGTTAAACCTCACATATCAATCAATCAAATTAATCAAATCAGAATTTCAGGCAGAAATTTTTCACTCCACTTTGTGATTTAAGTGGCAAGTCTATAACTATGAATATGGGTTATGTCAAGGCTTGCTTAATTTAAAGCCTTCTTTAACACTGTACACATGACCTACTGAGTCAATGAGTGTGTTCATCGTTTAGGAACCTCACGTAGACGTGCGATTTCGCGTGGCGGTCTTCGTACTATTAAATGTGAAGATTTATATCTACGACTGGAGCTCTTGTGAAGGAATCGCTTATGGTGGCATGCTAGTTCATTAATTTGCTAGCTAGTTATTTCAGCGGTATAGTTTGTATGTCAGACACCTTCACAGGCATTTCTGTAAAATATGGCTGGTGCATCTAACCACTTAACAAAATAACTACTGCCGTTCGAATGTATCAGCTATAAATTATGTGCACCAAAAAATGTATCAGCTATATGCCTCCCCCAAACACTAATATTGGCCGTCGGCAACATCGCCGTCGTACGTCGGCGGCATCAATGCGAGCTGTTGCTCCTACTGAGAGTCATTGTGCGTGCTTTCTGCACATGTTGTATACCTTATGCGGCACTTCACAGAGCTCTCATTGGCCAACGTGACACTCGTTTAGATAATTTTATGGTGAGTTTGACAGCTGGTGTGCAAGCTCTCATAGCACTGCCTGGCAAGCAAGCACTCTCTCCACGGAAGGGCCTCTGCTATGCAAGAACAAGGCAGGCGGCACCACATTCAAAAAGATAATGTAAAGAAGACTGTGTGGGAGCACTGTGAAAAGAGTGTGACACGCTCTCGCTGTAATTGTTGGGTTTCAATGTTAAGTAGCATCAGGCGCTGCCCGGTTATTTATCGCATGGTTTCATAAGAATGCGTCACAGTCTGCAGTTCATAATTGGGAGAAAACGTTTTGTACCCTGCTGCAATACACCCTGGGGTATAAGGTGTGAGAAAAAAGTTTTCCTTGTTTTGTAAAACAAAAGATGGTGATCTTCTGGACAAGTGCAGGCAAGCAGTCCTCATGAACAATCAGGTCCTTCATTCAACTGATTTTGCCTGCAAAAAACATTTCGAGCTCAAATGCTTGTGCAAAGAATGAACAACACACTACAATGAACACGTCCTCAGGAACATACCGCAAAAGGGGACATCGTCAAGGGACACTGTGCCGGTAAAGTTCCCTACCTGGCATACCCGACCAATGTGAGAAAACAATGCATTAAATGCCAAGCTGCTAAGCCCAGTGAAGCAATTGGTTCTGCTGAGATTTTTAATAGAGTGTCGCTACCACTCCTCTCTAGGTATTGCATGTATTTTACTGTCTTAGTTAACCATAGTTTTGTTTCACTGCAGTCTGTGCAGCTTATGTGATGTGACGTACTGTGCTGTGGTGCCTCATGCATGCTCACATAAGCAATGACACAATTGGCAGAGTTAGAAAATATATTTGTAACAGAAATTGCTTGAGTATTTGAGTATTGTGAGTACAGCTAAACCACTGGTCCTGCAAGGAAGTACAGGCACTATTTTACAACTCAAGATGACACAAACCACTGCATCACAGGCCCTGAAAAAAGTAAGTGCGGGTACCGTAGCCTGCAGTTGTCGACATACGTAAGTAACGCTTTCAGTGTTGACAGAGTACACTACTAGACAACGAAAACTAAGTTCCAATATTCAATTCAAAAACAAAAGGAAAATAAAAACCTGCTTTGACTCTCCCTATAGCTTCATTGCGCTACAGAACAAAACCATCCCTCTAGTGGGGCATACATGTTGCAGGTGCCTATTATACAAACGTGTATGTTAATTTTTCAGGCATTTTCATGTGACTGGTGTGCGCGCATAGGTATCTGTGCATGACAGCCGTGCCTGTGGCGACAGCCTACATTCGTTTCTACTTTCACAGCATGAGCAGATGATCGCAATAACTTCGACAAAGGGGGAAAATGTCAACAGACCCATTTTACTGCCCTCAATGGTTCAGCTGCGCTTTCCTTATATACACATATGGCAAGCCAGCGAGACCCTGGTGCACAGCTCACTAGGTATTGTGCCATCTATTGCAGAAAGAGCACAGCCTTATTGATTTGCCTACCAAATCTGGAGACCAGTTCATACACTTCTTACTTTTCCACTGTGGCATGTACTTCTGATGTTGGCAGCATTGCAGAACTCCTCGCATGCAATCAGGTCGGCATCAGCTCACACGAAGTCATGTAGACCAACAGCACCTGGTGTCGCTCCATTGAAGCTGAAATGCCAAACAACACTGCACGTAAGCAAATTCTGTGAGGTCTTGGCATGCATTTGGACAGAAGCACATCAGAAAGAAGTTAGGCAGTTTACAGAACATCTATCGAAATTATGGCACATTATATGTCATGTGCCGACGTAGTTGCCAACAGAAGCATTAGCAAAAAGTATTCTCTTGAAGAAAAAGAAGTGATTTTGCTATCATCATTGTTCAACAACGTAAACAGCAATGGTTGCACCAATGCCTTGTGGCAAATACCCAAGTGCCCGACTTGTGAAATGAGAGGCGCTGCAATTTTTTACATCTACTTTCTCACCTAGTTTAGGAGTCTAAAACAGTCGCATATTACTAACGTGTATTGTGGGAGTGCTTTTAAAATCTCTTTGTTGTTGAGAGAGAGCAAACACCTTGTACTCAATGAATGTTCATCATGAACGTTATATTTCTTCATTGCTATGAGAACTTCATTCTTCAGGGTTTCCGTTATGGAGGGGTTCAACTGTAAATGTGCTCCTCTGTGTTCCAGCTGCTGGGGTGCCTGCTACGTGCAGCCATAAAGCAAGCAAGCAAGGACCTTGAGGCAAGCCACAATGGAGCATTACACTAGCAGCACCAGAAAGAAAAGGACCACAAGAAGCTTCGATTCCAGCACAGTGATCAGTCAGAAGGGCTGGTACAGTATTGGAATAATGCAACTAATTTCCCAGCTCTTTCCACTATGCTTGTTGTAGCCCCTGCATCTCCATGCAAGGAAATGTGGCCGGACGTTGCACGAAAGTCTGATTCTGCTACCATACAATGTCACAGTGCGATGTCAGTGACACCTAAGGTCGCAGACACAGACACTGCTCATGGGTACCCTTCACTGCCAATAACTGCAGTGGCATGCACCAGGGCTCCAGCTGTGACTGTTTTCGCTCAAGTAAAACGGCGCCCTGTGCGTGCTCCTGCACTTGTCGGTGGTGTGTGGATGCAGCACAAAGTGAAGAAGACTGGGCGTACTGCCGTGCCACTGTGCTCTGCTGCTTTTGAGCAGAGCCCACCTTCTGAATGTGGGCCACTCGGCGCCTGTGGCGTAACATCCACGGTGAGCCCCCAGTCAGAAGATGTGGTTCTGCACAACGGCTGCAGTGCGGCTGACACCGGCACTTCCTCACCTCGTGGTGAAGACCCTGAACAAGAGCAGAAAGCAACATCAGCAAAATTGTCACACAGCCATATTTGCACAGGTAAAGGAAATATTTCTGTAGGGAGCACATTCAGCACTTATAAGAAGTTTAAGACTAGCTTTGAAGGATAGAAAAGTGAAGGGTTCCATCCGATGCGTATTGAAAGATCAGATAAAAACCCATTGTGTACTGATAAAGATTTAAACAAAGCAGACTTTCCTTATGTTCGAATTAAATTTGTCTGTTGCCACGCAGGGCATCCAAATCCGAGGGGACAAAATATTCGACCCAATCAACGCTTCAACGGTACAGGTTGCAACGTTGAACTGAAGCTTGCGCTGCGGGTTTCTCTACAGCCCTATTATGAAGTTGTAAATTTAGTGAATGTGCACAATCATAATATAGGTACCAAGATTTTTGTATGGTAAATAATAATCGTGCATTAAGTGCTTCTGAAAAAGAGCAACTTCAGGAGTTGATTTCTTGTAATGTGAAACCTAAAGACTTAAAGGATGCCATTCTGAGGAAAACGGGAAAACACGTTACTTCTCGTGATATTATAAACATGAAGCATAGAACAGTTCAAAAAATTCAGGACAATGCTCATCATGGAGCCCTTCTGTTGGAAAAAAATCAACAAATTGTTTTCTGAAAACTCTGGGTGGAAGGTTCATATTGAAAAGAATACAGAAAATGGTCTCTTGTACATATTGCTTCAATCAGAGCATATGGCCCAGTTACTAGAAAAATACCCTGAAGTGTTGTTCTTTGATGGTACGTGTAAAGTTAATAAAGAAGGGTATATCTTGCATTTGATTCTGTGTGAAGATGGAACAAGCCATGGGAGGCCTGTATGTTATGCATTTGTTCAGCGGGAGACATCAGAAATATTAAAGTCTTTCCTAGAGACATTGCTTTGTTTGAATCCTGTCGTAGAGGAGAAGTGGAAAATTGTGGTAATGGACAAAGATTTAAATAAAATGAATGTAATTAAGCAGCTTCTGCCCAAATTTAGAATCTTGTTGTGTTCGTGGCACGTGCTAAAGTACTTACACATGAAAGTAATGCAGCATAAGTCAAACAGTCTAGATAAGAAGTATGTTAAAGGTATAATTACGAAACTGGTTTTTGCACATACCGTATATATATCAAGAGCACTTGCAGGACTTGGAAGAAGCACTTGAAGGTGACAAAGCCCTTCTGAAGTACTTTTATAAAAATTGGCACAGCTGCAAGATCATGTGGATTTATGCTTATTGTGCAAATGCACGTAGTTTAGGAAATAATACTAACAATTAAATGGAAAGCCATAATCAAAAGTTAAAAAATTATCTAACACGTGACATGCACTTAGTGGAAGCAGTGAAAGCTCTGATAAGGTATGTGACCCATGATGCTCTAGCACTAAGCCACACACAATGTAAAGAAATGAGAACTTGCATTGACACCAGTAAGGCTGATAAGTTTTGCATTGAGGTGTCAGAAAAATGCACCGAATATGCTAGAAAATTGGTATGTAAAGAATATGGGCTGTTTATGAAATATCCAAGAGACTGTGTTGTCTTTGATGGCAAATGGACCGTTTTTGTTGGCAGTAAGCTTTATGAAGGTACTAATAATATGAGGACATGCATATGCACATTTATTGCGCAGTATCAGCTGCCCTGCAGGCTCATTCTTGCAGCAAGATCAAAAATTAATATGGAACTCTTTGATGAAAGTTGTGTGTCAAAGCGCTGGCTTAATTCTGATTTTGTGCAGACCGACCAGACAGTGTCCCCAGGCAAACTAAGCATTTTAACCACAAGCATGGTAAAACAGGTACAGCCAAAACTTGATAACTCAGAGGCCAGATATAAATATGCATATGCATGTCTGTTGGAACTTTCAAAGGAAGCTGCTAATGTACTAGCCTACTGTAGCGCAACTGAACTTTGCGAAAAATTGAGCGAGTGTGAGGACTTTTTTCAAAATCTTGTTACTTACCCTAGACATAAGAAACATGATTCAACAATTCCTAAAATAGCACAAAGTAATGAACAAGTTAGTGGGGAAGGAAAAGGCTTAGAAAAGTCAAAAGAAGTAAGTAATTCGTGGAGTGTAGACCTGAACGACTATCTATTAGCCAAGTCTGTAGATGATGACACTATAAAGAAGGGCTCCACAGAAGATAAATCGGAACTGAAAGTGCAATCTGGTCACGTTAAATCTGATTCAAAAGGTGAAATTTACTTTACTATAGCCTCGCATAATGATAAGATATGTCAGGTTCTAGCAAAGACATCGGACACTAGTTCTTTGCCCAGTGATTTTGCACAGCAACTGACAGCGCTTAACATACCTCTAGTTAAATCCGCTCGCGGCGAACCACGTAAGAGATGTGTACATGATATGAAGCAAGGAGAAAAAAGACTACGTTTGCATGTTTTGAAAAACTCTCAATTTAAAGAGAAGGCACCTGTGGCAGTCGTTCGTTGAACATTGGAAGAAATTAGTGACCCCATAGCTGACGCGATTTGTGGTCCAAATAATTGCAAACCTTACAAAATAAGTTCCTCTCATTTAATGACCTTACGAGGCACGGGATGGCTGTCAGATGCAATCGTAAATGCAGCGCAATTTATTATTTCGCGTCAGTTTCCTGGTCTGCGCAATTATCACGATGTTCTTCTTGGGGAGAGCTTGAAATTTAAGAAGTGAGACAACTTTATTCAAATTCTGCATATTCCTGGGCATTGGGTTACAGTGACAAATTATGGTGCCCCTACAAACAGTGTTTTTCTGTATGATTCGGTAGACCAGGACATTATGCCAAATGTAGCAACTCAAGTTATGAACAAAATGAGTCTAGCTTCTAACACTCTCACCATTCACGCTAAGGCAGTACAGCGTCAAGAGAACTTTTATGACTGTGGCGTTTTTGCCATTGCTAATGCATTCACCATTGCATCTGGCGTCGACCCGTGCACCGTTGCTTTTGATAAGACCTTAATGCGCAGGTATTTAATATCATGTCTTGCAGACAATGAGATGGTGCATTTCCCTATTGATACCATGCAAGTGCCCAAGGTAAAACCAAAATAAAGTTGCTTTTTTGTTCTAAAGTAATATTACATGTTTATACAATTAAAAATCAGTCTTAAACTGAAACCATATAGTTCTATAGCTGCTGATTTGAGACCTTTCTATAGATTCCAACTCTAGGGTATTATTATACTCGGTCATCATCATTAGCATTTCTAGTTCTTCTGCCCCACAAAGAATTTCAAAGCGACAGTCTTTGGTACGTGTTATCCAGTGAGATAACTTTCTGCAGGCGTTATTTATCCAGAAAATAATGCAAACCATTATACTATATGCACCTTGCTTTTAAGAACTAAGTGGTTTGAGGAAAAGTTAATGAATTTTGATGCCTTTCGGTCAATAAAATGAACTGTGTAAATAACTTAGGCCAGAAAGTTATTATTTTTGCGGTATACTTTAGGGACCATGAGCATCCTAGCGTGTTGCAACCTTTTTAGATGTTTAAGTATATAAATGTATGAAACCTTTTAAAGGGGCCCTAAAGGCATACTGTTGGTGCATTGTTTGTTCCGTGCTAAGAAAATGCCTTGTTTAAAAAGAAGTTATATATTAAGTGGTCAGCATGCTACAACTGGTATTTAAACAACTTTCCTAGTAGGTCTTCTTGACATTTTGTCCCTTAGGTGGCGTGAAATACAGTAGTAGCAGGCGTGGTAGAAGGAAAGTTTTGCTATTATGAACAGACACAAGTCAGTAGCTTCGGAGAAGCTTCTGTGGCACAGATAGATAATTTGAGAGAACTTTCACTGCCCCTCCCCCCCCCCCGTTTTTGGAGGATGATTGAAGCTAGCCATGAGTCTTGTCGGCGGCTCTTAGTTCAAAGAATGAAATAGAAAGAACCAAGCAGCATTTCATACCAGATTTGGGCGCACGTTAAAGAACCCCAGGTGGTAGAAATTTCTGGAGCTCTCCACTACGGCGTCTCTCATAATCATACGCTGGTTTTGAGACGTTAAACCTTACATATAAAAATAAGAATTTCATACCATATTTTAATGCGCTGAAATCGTCTTTTCTACTGTCGACAGTTTCAGTAATTACTTTTTCTGGGACTCGACTAGGTCATTTTATAGAAATACAGAGTTCGCAGAATATTGCATGGGTGACTCGAGCCTTATTATACATTTACTTCTTTCTTGGTGAACTAAGCCGTGTAGATAATACTGACGTTTAGGCATTCTTAAACTTTCACTCATCATTCGAACGGAAGAAATTTTTTGCCTTTAGCGTCCCTTTCAGATGAAGAAAATTTGTTCCTTTGTGATTGAATGCCTGACTTCATTTTCTAAGCTGTGCTAGTGAAAACACATACTTCGGCAAAATGAAAGCTAATGCGGGCAGCTGGCATTGTATTACAATGTAAGATGTTCTTAATGCATTAAAAATAGTTCATATTTTGAACATTCCCTAGAAAACAGCATCATTTCTCGTAAAAGTCTAAATGTTTGCTATGGCAAAGTTTGATTCTATTAGGCTGGCTGCAGTTTGAGGCAGCAGTTCAGCAAGGCCTGTATTAGTTTCATACTGTCTGAGTCTCTGGGCGGAGCCTGACCGCTACAGAGCGCGTTCTCGGGTGGCGGATAGAGAAACGTTCGATGATGTGAAGTCGCACAAAGCTGCTTCATATCATGGTACAGGCAGTTATGCCCGAGGACCAACAGGTATACTGTCATGGTTTATATTAGTGACAACCATATTTTTACTGCTGTTAGCGAGTGGTTTTTACACATCACCTAAATTTAAGTCAGTGCATATACTTGGACATTGTGATGTGCGTGCAACACCAGTGCAGTGCTCATGTTGGTTACCATTCACGAGGCGATAACAAGGACGTTCTGCCAGCCATCAAGTCCTGGTCCTGACCTACCTTTGGGAGGCTAACTCAGCCGTCTAGGTTGGCGAGCGGGTTCCTGCATCTGGTCACCAGCCACGACGGTGCAGTCACCAGCCACCATGGTGCATGCATGGGTAGATCTGTCTGATATAAAGTGTTAATGCAGGCTTGTTAATACGTCGTGAACTTGCTATAAACAGCACCACAACTAGACAAAGAAAGAAGAAACAGAAGCTGCAAGGGACATCCTGTCTCTTGCAGCTCTATCTATCAGTTTTTCTGATCTCTCTGCTCACATTTGGAGATTGTTTTCACACTGTGACTGAAGCGCTTCTGTCCATGACTTATGGGTGAATTGGGCTTCTCATCTGCTTCAGCCAACAAATACACCTGCAAAGAGTGAGTCTGCCACTGTGGATGACACCAGTGTTGGAACTACTAGTGACTGTTTTCGTTTCAAATGTTCAGCAGAACTTCATTTAATTACAAAGCTTTGCTTGTCTTAGTAGTTTGGTAATGGGTACAGTTTCAGTGTGGTTGTTTTGGTTTTATTTAAGATTACTTTCGTTTTAAAAGTTTGACATTTGTGTGTGAAAAACTGGCTCATCCTTTCCTGAAACGAGACCCAGCCTCAGTAAAACGATCCTGCATCGCAGGCATGATGGCTCAATGGCTGCAGCTGCTTCAATGCTGCCCAAGGATGTAGTGTTGATGTTTGAGAGCAGCAGCCATAGGCCGGTAGAATAAGTGTAACCTATTTAAACTCACTCAAGAAATGCGTTTCACCATGGAAACTCACTCGGACTCAAATTTACTGAAATTTAGCTCAACAGAACTAATTGGGACTCAATAAACTGTTTCTCAACCACTCTCACTCAGGCTCAAACTTACCAACATATTACTCAGTTCGGCACGCTCAGACTCGCGATTTGACCTGTGTCTGAATGAGCGAACAGCTCTCACTAGTCGCAATCCAATAAGAATATTTTTATGAAATATGCAGCTCACATCAGAAATTTTTGCCATGAATGTCCCATGAGTGAGATTGTGAAGGGAGGTCTTGGCGACGCCCTTATCTCCTAACTTGCGCCTCTGTTCAATAACCGCATGAACGGTTGTGTGTTGACGTACGCTTGAACAGACTACTTGATTGGCAAAGTAAGCAAATGTAACATCGATAGTTATGCTGATAGGCGGGTATATAGGAACATAGGTCAGAAATAAAATGTGGTGCTCACTGAGGCTCACCCAAGAAATACACGTTGAGCTTAGGGCTCACCACCTCAGACTCGTAAATATTTTCCTCACTCGGATTCAAGCTCATTAAAATTTTCCTTAGCCACACTCACTCTAACTCAAACTCATGTAATATTACTCAGCTGTACTCACTAAAACTCACGGCTCCATCATAGTCAAAGTGAGCCTGGCCCCATTAACGTCCAATGTGCCATGTTCGAATCAGCCAATCGCTGATATAATGGCTGTGATGGGCAATTTTTGAGCTTGTAGCACAATTTGTCAAGTGAAAGGAAAGCCATTTTCAGGTGAATTTGAACATTTATTGAGAAATTCTGGCCTCGTGCTGCGCAACAATATTTGGCTCACGTGTTCTCGGGAGTCTTCACTACCGATTGGCCACGTTTTCCGACCATATTTAATAAGTGGTGCAGTGCCCCTTAAACTCTGAAGAGGTTTTGCGGCAGTGTGAACTCCCTTGGATAGGTGCTTTCACAGCATAGCATTCTATGCTGCAGTGAAATTACCTTTACAGGAGGTTATGTGCAGATGATGATGATGATGATGATGATGGTAGATTTTAGTGGCGCAAGGGCAACTCAGGCCAAAGAGCGCCAAACACACGGTTTTTGGTCGATTTGATTATAAAATTCTATTCAGGGTGGCAAGAATAAAAGAGTAGTGTATAGGACTTAAACTTAGGTGCAGTGACTATGTGTGATGGGTTTAAAACTGGCTATGCTTATGGGTTTTACAAAGTCATGCCGTGTCGTCAACAGTCCTTGTCAAGACAAGGAGTGCGTGCTGCATGACATTTGATAAAAAAACTCTCAGCCGTCCCCTCAGGATTGAGAGGAGGCTAAGATTAGTGAGAATATGTTATGGAATGTAGGAAGCCTACAGTAGCTAAAAACTTTAAGACTACTTTTGGGGGAAACAAGGGATCGTCTCCAAGAAAAAATTGTGGATGAGGCGGAATGTGACATTTGTACAGCTTTGGAAAGTGACACAGTGTTTCTGGTTCGAGGTATGAACAGGTGATTAGAACGTGAACGACAGACAGCTCATCACCACATTTTGCACAATGTGGTGCTGGAGAGTTCATTAAAAGGTGCGAGTGTGTTGCATGTGTATGACCGATCCTGAGTCTGCACAGTGCAACCTCTTGGTGCCTGTTACGTTTTTCAGTCACTTATCTTCCTATTCTCGGCTTTACTAAGCGCAGTTTGTTTGCATTTGCTGCGTTCCATTCATCTTGCCATTGCTTACGCATTCGGTTTCTGATTAGCGGCCTCAAGTCCTCATATGGGATGACGGCTACGTCTACTGTTGGGCGGAGTACAGCGGACTTCGCAAGTTGGTCCGCTGCCCCATTGCCAGCTATGTTGCAGTGTCCCGGAATTTAGCATAGCGTTATTTTCAGGTTGGATTTGTAGGCTGACATGGGGCAGTTTAGAAGGGTATTAGTCACTGGATTTTTATGTGTCTTTGCGGAAGACAACGCAGTCACTGCACTGAGGGAATCTGTGTATATGATGGAGGCTGGTTCTTTCTTCTTTAAGATGTGCCTTACAGCTAGCAGTATGCCATAGCACTCAGCAGTAAATATGCTGGTATGTTCATTCATTGTTGCAGATTCAGAGTACGCTGGGCCATATGCAGCATATGCGACGGCCGAGGACTTGGAAGCATCAGTGTAGTACTCAGCACACCTGTATTTTGCCTGCAAGTACATGAAATGCTGATCGATTGCGATTGGGAGGCCATGCTTTCCTACCTCTAGGAATGACAAGTCGCAATTGATAGCTCGCATTTCCCATGGTGCCACAGTGTCCTTGTGGGAACTTAGTTGAAGATTGGAGACAGGTATATTAAGATTTTCGAAGTGTGAGGCCACTCTAATGGGATATGTTGGCGTGGCTGATGGTCACCTCAAGAACAGGTGGGCGTTTGATGTATCCTGCAATAGCTCGCGAGATGGGTGGTCGACATGAGAGAGCACCTTGGTTGCATACTTGATGCTTGTGAACTGCCGTCGTCGTTGTAATGACCACCGATCTGTCTCAACATACAGGCTGGATATGGGGCTGGTTCGGAAGGCGCCACTAGCCAGACGAAGCCCATGGTGATGCAATGGGTCGAGCATCTTAAGTGTGGATCTCGATGCTGATTCGTGCACAACCGAGCCATAATCAATACGTGAGAGCACTACACTACTGAGAAGGTTTAATAGACAGTCCCGATCTGTACCCCATGACTGATGCGAGAGAATCTTGAGCAAGTTAAAGGCTTTCAAGCATTTCAGTCGCAGCTGCTTGATGTGTGGGACAAAGCTGAGCTTTTCATCCATCACAACACCTCAAAATTTATGATCCTTCTTAGTAGCGATGGTGTGTCCATTCATTGAAATGTTGGGGGGCGGCCTTATACCACGTAGTTTTGAAAAGAGTAGGCAGACAGTCTTGTCACAGTTAAACTTAAAACCATTTTTGTCTGCCCAGCTTGAGAGCTTATTTACTGCCAACAGAATCTGACGTTCGCAGATGGCTAGGTTGCATGATTTGAAGCTGATCTGAATGTCATCAACATATACAGAGTAGGAAATTGTTTTAGGCAGTATAGTGTTTATGGAGTTCATTTTTACGATGAATAGTGTGCAACTAAGTACGCCAACTTGGGGGACACCATTTTCCTGAGTAAACCGCCTTGAAAGGACATTTCCAACACGAACCACGAACGTACGTTCAGAGAGGTAGCTTTCAATTGTATTCAGCATGTTTCCTGACACTCCAAGGAATTGCAAGTCACGGAGAATGCCATAACGCCATGTCGTGTCATAAGCCTTCTCCAAGTCAAAAAATACAGAAAGGCAGTGTTGTTTGTGAATGAAGGCATCCCTGACGTAGGATTCGAATGCTATGAGTTGGTCAGCTGTCGACCGGCCTGATCAGAATCCAGCTTGACGGCGGTCAAGGAGGCCATTATATTCAAGATAATACATGAGGCGGTGGTTTACCATTTTTTCAAAAACCTTGCACAAGCAGCTGGTCAGGGCGATAGGCCTATAACTAGCGACAAGTGTGGCTTCCTTTCCTTGTTTGAGGATGGGTATTATAACTGCCTCTTTCCAGGCCTTGGGTAGACGCCCGGAGGACCATACACTGTTGAACAGTAAGAGAATGACATCAAGCGTGTGTTCGTGTAAGTGTTTCAGCATGCCATATGTAATCTTGTCTTGGCCTGCAGCTGAGTTGCCACATGTTGCCAGCACTGCCTTCAATTCGTCGATGGTAAACAGAGTATTGTAGCCTCCAGCAGATAGCCTTCTATCACGGATGGGCTTACGTTCCTCAGCAAGCTTGTGTCGTTTAAAGGACTCTGTATAATGTGCTGAGCTGAAAATATACTCAAAGTGTTGGCCTATGGCATCTGCCTGGTGTTCTAGCGTATCACCAGCAGTACTGACGAGAGGGACCGGATGAGTGTTGTGCCCTTGAAGGGCTCTTACTCTGTTGTACACCCTATGCGTATCAGTATAGGAGTTAACTGACGAGAGGAAGGACTGCCAGCTCTGCCTCTTTGATTCTCGTCGGATACGCCTACCATTTGCTTTTGCACGCTAGAAATTCATCACGTTGTCAGCTGTCGGGTACCTGCGAAATTTCGACCAAGCTTTGTTTTGGTTCTTGCGAGCTTTTTTGCACTCCGCATTCCACCAGGGCCGTCGTTTGTTTCGCGTCTTGTCAGATGTCTGTGGGATCGATCGCTCTGCGGCCTGTATAATATGAAGTACCACCAATGCTTCACAGTCATCAATGTCTAGGTTTTCAATAGAAGAACGCGACAGTTCTGTAAGTTCTCGGAATTTTGTTCAGTTAGCATCCTGTTCTCTAAACCACAATAC